GCTGCTGCTGCTGCTGCTGCTGCCGCTGCGGCTGCTGCTTGCTGGTTCTGGTGTTCCCAAGCCATTTTGTCCCCGCAGCAGGGGCCGGCTGCCAGCAGAGTTGGAAGCCCCTAGAGAGGCAGCAGTTTGCTGCTGCCGCCGACATCGCTGCTGCAGCGTCTGCAGCAGCTGCAGCAGCTGCTGCTGCAGCTGCAGCTGCAGCTGCCTCAGCAGGTATTAGAAATGAGTCCCCCAGTAGCAGCAGGAGGTGGCCTGCCAGCTGCAGCAGCAGGTGCTGCACAAGCAGCACCCCCCCCACCAGCAGCAGCAGCAGCACCCTTCACAGCTGCAGCAGCAGCAGCCCTCCCAGCAGCAGCAGCAGCACCCCACGCAGCAGCAGCAGCACCACCACCACCACCGCCACCGCCACCAGTGACAACCCCCGTTGCAGCTCCGCCATCGGCAGAAGCTGCAGAAGCAAGAGCAGCAGCAGCAGCAGCAGCAGCAGCAATGAGGGTTCCAGGGCGAGCTGCAGCAGCAGCAGCAGGCCCGAGCGCCCCCCCTGCTTCTGCTGCTTCGGCGTTGAGCCTCAGCAGCGAAGACACGAGCGCAGCGACGGCTGCGAGCAGCCCGGCGCCGCAGCCAGCAGCAGCAGCAGCAGCAGCAGCAGCAGCAGCAAGGGGGCGGCGGGGGCCGCCCGGGGGGGGCCCCCGCGCAGCAGCAGCACTGCGGGAGTCGACAGACAATAAAGTCCATTTGGTGTTTTATAGTGGAGTGGTTTTGACGCTGCTGCTGCTGTTCCCGCTGCTGCTAGGGTTTCATTTGCTGTCGCCAGAGGCGGTTTCGTTGGGGGTTTTGCTGCTGCCGCTGCTGACGGCGCTGGCGCAGGCCCTTGCTGCACCTGTGGGGCCCCGCTGCTGCTGCTGCTGCTGCTGCTGCTTCCCCAGCCGCCGCACACTCGCAGCCTGCTTCAGCAGCTTCACTTCTTACGAAGTCAAATTCAAAATTGCTGTTTGCGCTGCAACACTCGCCCCCATCATCTGCATCCTCACCATCATTTTCGAAGTAGGGTTTAGGGTTTGGGGTTTAAGGTTTAGGGTTTGGGGTTTGGGGTTTAGGGTTTGGGGCTTGAGGTTTAGGGTGTGGGATTTAAGTTGTGGGATTTAGGGTTTAGGGTTCAGGGTTCAGAGTCCAGGGTTTAGGGTTTAGGGTTTACGGTTTAGGGTTTAGGGTTTAGGGTTGAGGCCTGATGGTTTAGGGTTTAGAGTTTAGGGTTGATGGTTTAGGGTTTGGGGTTTGGGATTGACGGTTTAGGGTTTAGGTTAGGGTTTAGGACGTGGGGTATACAGCTGAAGAAGATGCGCAAACTGGCGTCTGTGCGAGTTGCTAGGGTTTAGGGTTTCGCGTTGAGGATTTGTTGTTCAGGGCTTAGGGTTAAGGGTTTAGGGTTTAGGGTTTAGGGTTTCGAGTTTTAGGCTTCGGGTTCCGGGTTTCTTGTTTCATGTTTATGGTTTCGGGTAAACGCTCCAGGGTTTCCTTTTTCGCGTTTCGTGTTTCTTGCCTCTTCCCCAGGGTTTAGGGTTTAGGGTTTAGGGTTTAGGGTTTAGGGTTTATGGTTTATTGTTTAGGGTTTCGGCTCTCGGGTTTTTTATTTCGGGTTTCTTGTTTCTTGTTTGTCATTCACGGTTTAGGGTTCAGGGTGTAGGGTGTAGGGTTTAGGGTTTAGGGTTTAGGGTTTAGGGTTTCGGCTCTCAGGTTTCTTGTTTCCTGCTTCTTATATCGGGTTTCTTGTTTCTTGTTTCCTGTTTCTTATTTACGGTTTAGGGATGAAGCTTAAGGGTTTAGGGTTGCGGGGTCAGGGTTTAGGATTTGGGATTTAGAATTTAGGGTTTAGGGTCTAGGGTTTAGGGTTTAGGGTTTAGGGTTTTGCGTGTGTGCAGCGGCCGTGGGCTTCGCACTTGTGTCTGCTGCCTTTTGCTGCTGCTTGTATCGGGTTTCTCGTTTCTCGTGCCTCGTTCCTTACACAGGGTTCACGCTCAAGGGTTTAGGGTTTAGGGTTTAGGGTTTAGGGTTTAGGGTTTAGGGTTTAGGGTTTAGGGTTTAGGGTTTAGGGTTTTGCGTGTGTGCAGCGGCCGTGGGCTTTGCACTTGTGTCTGCTGCCTTTTGCTGCTGCTTGTATCGGGTTTCTCGTTTCTCGTGCCTCGTTCCTTACAGAGGGTTCACGCTCAAGGGTTTAGGGTTTAGGGTTTAGGGTTTAGGGTTTAGGGTTTAGGGTTTAGGGTTTTGCGTGTGTGCAGCGGCCGTGGGCTTCGCACTTGTGTCTGCTGCCTTTTGCTGCTGCTGGGGAT